TTTTTTCGCTTCTTCAATTTCTCGATTTTTTAATTTTTCGATTTTTGGCTTTTCTATATTTTCGATTTTACGATTTTCCAGTTACTTAATTATTAATTAATCAATTTCTCGACTTTTCGATGATATGATTTCTCTACGTCTCGATTTTTCCGTTTTGGAATTTTTTATTATAGATTTTTCAATTCTCTGATGTTTCGATTCCTCGATTTAGCAATTTTCCGATTTCAAAGTTTCCATTTTTTAAATTTTTGATTTTTGGATTTTTCATTTTAAATATTCTTCGGTTGTTTAATTTTTCGATCTATTGATTTACCAATTTTTTGCTTGTGTGCTATTTCTGCTTTTCGATTTCTCGATCATTTGAAATTTCGATTACTTGATGTTTCAGTTCTTCAATTTTTAATTTCTCGATTTCTCAATTTTTCGATATTTCAGTTTTGGGATTTTCCAATTTTTTGATTCCTCAATTTCCCGGTTTTTTTAATTTTTGGTTTTTTGTTTTTATTTCGTTATTCGATTTATTAATTTTCCGATACATATTTCAGGTTTACGATTTTTCAATTACAGAACTGACAATCGCAAATTTTAAAAATTTCAAAAAATCGAAATGCACACCGAATTTTTCGAAAATATTGCAATTTTTCGCTCCTTCCAAATTTCGATTCTTCAATTATTCTATGTTTCAATTGTTCAATTTTTGGCATTTCCAAATTTTCGATTCTCAGTTTTGCGATTCTTCAGTTTTCGCTTTTCAATTTTTCGATTGTTCAATTTTTCGCTTCTTAAATTTTTTCGCGTTTTCAATTTTTCAATTCTTCAATTTTTCGCTCTTTTAATTTTCGCTTCTCAATTTTTCGATTTTTCAATTTCTGGATTCTTCAATTTTTCGCTTCTTCCATTTTCCGAATCTTCAATTTTTCGATTCTTCAATTATTCTACGTTTCAATTGTTCAATTTTTGGCATTTCTAAATTTTAGATTTTAAAATTATCCAGATTCTTGATTAATCGATTTTTGGGCTTCGATTTCTCAACTTTTCGATGTTTAAATTTCTTTAAGTCTCGATTTTTCAGTTTTGGAATTTTTCAATAGTTCTATTTTTCTATTTTTTGAATTTTTATTATAGATTTTTCAATTCTTTGATGTTTCGATTCATCGATTTAGCAATTTTCCGATTTCTGGGTTTTTCAATGTTTCCAATTTAAAAATTTTTGATTTTTGGATTTTTCAGTTTGAGTATTTTTCGCTTGTTTAATTGTTCAATTTTTGGCATTTCCAAATTTTCGATTTTCCAGTTTCTCGATTAATCGATTTTTTGAATTTTTGATTCTCCCATCTCTTCATTTCTCGACTTTTCGATGTTTTGATTTCTCTACGTCTCAGTTTTTCAGTTTGGAAATCTTTCAATATTTCTATTTTTCTTTTTTCGAATTTCTAATTATAGATTTGTCTGGGTTTTACTATGTCCATTTTAAAAAGTTTTGATTTTTGGATTTTTCAGTTTGCCTATTTTTCGGTTTTTTAATTTTTCGATCTTTTGATTTAGCAATTTTTTGCTTGTATGCTATGTCTATTTCCCGATTTCTCGATCTTTTGAAATTTCGACTAGTTAATGGTTCAGGTTTTCCATTTTTCAATTTTTTGATTCTTCAATTTCCCGGTTTTTAAAAATTCTTGATTTCTCGTTTTTCTTCCGTTATTTGATTTATCAATTTTCCGATACATATTTTAGTTTTACGATTTTTTAAATCCAGAATTGCCCATTGAAAAATTGCAATTTTTAAAAATTTCAAAAAACACGCTATATTTTTGGAACCGATTCTTCAATTTTTCGTTTCTTCAATTTTTCTATTTTTCAGTTTTTCGAATTTTTAATTATAGATTTTTCAATCTATTGATGTTTCGACTCCGATTGATGCAATTTTCCGTTTTCTGGGTTTTTCAATGTTTACATTTAAAAAATTTTTTATTTTTGGATTTTTCAATTACTCAATTTCTCAATTTTTCATAATTTCGGTTTTGCGATTTTTACATTTTTTGATCCTTCTAATTCCCGTTTTTTTTAAATTTCAGATTTCTCGTTTATTTTTTCGTTATTCGATTTATCAATTTTCCGATACATATTTCAGTTTTACGATTTTTCAATTCCAGAATCGCCCATTGAAATATCGCAATTTTAAAAATTTCAAAAAATTCAAATTTCACACCAAATTTTTCGAAAATATTGCCCCGTGACCCTAATAATGCTATATTTTTGGAATCGATTCTTCAATTTCGCGATTCAATTTTTCGATTCCTCAATTTTTCACCTATTCCATTTTTCGATTCTTCAATTTTCAATTTTTCGCTTCTTCAATTTTTATGTTTCGATTCCTCGATCTTGCAATGTTCCCTTTTCTGGGTTTTTCAATGCTTTCAATTTAAAAATTTTTCAATTTTGAAGTTGTCTATTTATACCAATATCGCAATTTTCAAAATATTTCAAAAAATTCGAATTTCAATCCGAATATTTGAAAAATATTGTCCAGTTACCATAAACACGCTATATTTTTGGAATCATCACGTCAAAATCTATTTCCCTGAACTTTCTGAGAATTTTTAGACAACTCTTTCAAAAATGACAATTTCCAATAACCTCATACAAATTTCCACATATTTTCGATTATTTTCGAAATTTAACTAAATAGATTTTCTTGTAGAATTACACAAAGCATCAACTGTTATCTTGATCCCCCAATTCGAGTGAAATACTGCTGATTTTATGTTTTTTATACTATCAATTTATCAATTCCTTTTAAGTTTATAAGCAAACAATAGGAATCCAACTTGCATTTCAGAGCCAATAAAATGAGTGATCAAAACGGAATAGGGGTGGGTGGGTGGGTGGGGACACTTTTGACTGTAATATTATTCAGTCGTATTTTGGCAAATACTCACCCCGCCCACCCGCCCTTTATTTTTTTGGAGAGTATGTCATTCGCCAAAATCAGTCTTATCTCACCAAGTATTAGCCCCGCCCACCCACCCTCTGTTTCCTTAAAGGGTATGTGATTTGCCAAAATTAGTCTTTTCTTACCAAGCACTAGCCCCGCCCTCTATTTTCATAAAAAAAATATTACTCCCTATACGCCATGTTTTTGGAATCAGGACGTCGGGATCTGTGGCTCCGAATTTTTTAAAAATTTCTAGACGACTTTTTCAAAAATGAAATTTTCCACAATCCAAATTTCGACTTATTTTCGACCATTTTCGAAATTTAACAAAATACTTTTTTCTTGTGGATTTCGGACCGCATTGAAATATCGCAATTTTTAAAAATTTCAGAAAATTCCAATTTGACTCCCAAATATTTCGAAAATAGTGCTCCCTGACCTAAACACGCTACATTTTTGGAATTAGTAATCAATTTTTAGATTTTTTCAAAATGAAATTTTCCACTGTGATATATATTTTTTTCTAGGTATGTATTATTATGACTGTAAAGTACGAATCAACCTGACTACAAAAGAAAAACCGCAATTTTGAAGTAGAGTTTGTTAACATCACATGTCATGTTTTCATAATGTCGGCAGGACCCTGTTTAATTTGAATTTGTTACAGCTCTATAAATCTGTTTGAAATATTCATGGTTATTAAATATAGGACGCTACAGTCAATAAAATTATTACGTGCATAATAAAATTAAATGTTGTTTTACACACTTTACGTGGCACCACCAACTTCAAATAACAAAATAAAAATCTCCGCGCTGATCATGTTCTTACCACTGACCCATCCACTCCGCCGCCCCCGCACCCCGCTTAATTGAAACCCGATAAAGCCTCCCGATTCGCCTTGAAAACACAATGCAACCTGCAATAATATCCAGCACAATAATAATTTAGCAATTTTTGCCGTCACTGCTATGTGCAGCCTTTATCAGATCCGTCTCGGGCGTGGTTTTTACGATTCCGATTAAGCTTTTAGCTGGCCTCAAGCTGCAACAACCGCAATAAAACTCTCGTGCAGCTGAAAAATCGCGCCGCCGCCACGATAACACATGTCAACACTGCCGCTTCCATTATTCAACATTTTAGCGGTCCAAATCCCCGCACTATTTATAATAGGAGTGATTCCGCAAAAGCCGTCGAAGGTAATCTGTGACGAAACGCGTCAGAAAAAAAGGATCATCGTTCCGGTGCTTTGTTTTTCCACGTTTTACGCAGTTAATAGCCAGTTTCAATAAGTATTGTAGGAGCATTTATGCGCTTAGTTAATCTTCCAATGTCAGACAGATAAGTCTACGGCGGCAAACAATTACGGTTTTGCCCAAGGTGGATTGTGCACTTTATGCTGGGTTTTATGGACATCGTGGAGCGTTTGGGCTCGCAGCTGGAAACCCACTTGGTTAGTGGGTCGAGACGCGGCATTTGTTTATTTTGGCGGCTGTGATTCGAGGAGTTACATTATTGAAGTGTTACGACTAATGAGAAATGAGTGTGTTGTGGATGGGTTACGGGCTAAAAAAGTCGGGGAATTTGGGGAATTTTAATTGCGTGATTGAAGATGTTCACGGTTAGCACGTCGCGCCAAAATGGCCTGAATTCGTTGGCTACGTTTCGAAACTTTAAATGGAAAAATTCGTCAATGTTATGTCACGTAGAGCAAAATGGTGGCATGATAATCATATTAATTTCCTTTTTTGTGTGAATGATTCAGTCGTGACTTTGCTGTGGCTTTTATGCAATCGGTTGGTTTTTTGATGGGAACTGTCAAATTTACAAGCTTTCGTAAAAACATTGGCCGCATCCTCTGGAACCGAAGCGCGACGTTATTAAATAGTAAAAAAAAATCTTTATGAGGTGGATCAAATTAGAAATTATAGGTGATAATGTATTCACGAGCAAATTGCACATTTTTTTATTTTGGCTAAAATTTAAGTTTTCCTGAAGAAACTCAATTTAATGTAGAATAAACACTAGCTAAGCTAACTAAGTCAAATAAAAAAGCATGGTACATTACCTAAGGTCAAAAGATGAGGTGGAAGTGCGAACTCACCTGAAAAAAAAAATCAATCAACAATAACAGTAAAAAATTGGTGTAAATAAGCGTTTACGACGGAAAACAATCACGTCTAAATCTTTGTGTTATTTTATTTGTGATAACTTCTTCACATCAAAAAAAAAAAAATAATTTTAACAGTAACAGTGTAAGAAAAAAAAACCTATGAGATAATCAAACAAGTCCGAAATTGTCCACACTGGTCATTGCGTTATCGAATGCGAAAATTTCAAGGCAGATTTATAAACCACAAGTACAGGAGTAGGTTATTTTATAATATTTAAATCGTTTTTACTATAAAAAAAATTATAGATGCATCACATTGTTGGTACCAATGGTTAGACAAATTTTGGTTAACTTTTCTTTTAAGTTTTTACCATTTACACGATATATATGTACTTAAAATTTGACAAAAATCGGTCCAGTAGTTTCGGAGAAAAATTGTCTAATAAAAATCGCCTCAAAGAGAAACGGGGACCTATTTTTTCGTGTTCTAGGGGTAATGAAACGTCTAGAAAGCACGGAGTAGAATATCGCCGGATACACGTTATTACAATACTTCACTAGTTTATGTCAATTTCTTGGTTCTTCAATTTTCCGATTCTTGAATTTTTCGCTCCTCAATTTTTGGATTCTTCGATTTTTCGATTTTTCCATTTTTCACTTATTCAATTTTTCGGTTCTTCAATTTTTGCCATTTCCAAATTTTCCATTTGATGATTTTCCAGTTTCTCGATTAATTGATTTTTCGGCTTCGATTTCTCGATTTTTTTATTCTCCCATTTCTTGAAATCTCGACTTTTCGATCTTCTAATTTCTTTACGTCTCCATTTTTTAGTTTATAATTGTTCAATATTTCTATTTTGCAATTTTTCGAATTCTGAGTTTCGCAATGTTTCCATTTTTAAAATTTTTAATTTTTGGATTTTTCAGTTTGCCTATTTTTCGGTTTTTTAATTTTTCGATCCTTTGATTTACCAATTTTTTGCTTGTGTCTGCTTTCGATTGCTTGATATTTCAGTTTTTCTATTTTTCAATTTCTCGATATCTCAATTTTTACATATTTCAATTTTGGAATTTTTGCATTTTTTGATTCTTCAACTTCCCGGTTTTTTTAAATTGTCGATTTAGTCAGCACCTCAAGATCTATAAAAAATGAAAATGAAATTTTTCACTATGTATACAATTTTTCGCTTTTACAATTTTCCACCCCTTCAATTTTTCGATTCATCAATTTTTCGCTTTTTCAATCTTCCGATTCTTCAATTTTTCGAGTTCTTAATTATAGATTTTCCAATTTTTAATGTTTCGATTTCTCGATCTTGCAATTTTCAGATGTCTGAGTTTTTCAATGTTTCCAGTTTTAAAATTTTTGATTTTTCGATTTACCAATTTTTTGCTTGTGTGCTGTTTCTATTTCCCGATTTCTCAATCTTTCGATATTTCGATTACTTGATATTTCAGTTTTGGGATTTATTCATTTTTTGATCCTTCAACTTCCAGGTTTTTTTAAATTTTCGATTCAGAGTTAGCACGTCAAGATCTAAAATACTGAATTTTTTAAGAATTTCAAGACGACTTTTTCAAAAATGAAATTTTCCACTATGTACAATTATTCAATTCTTCAATTTTTTGCTTCTCAATATTTCACCCTTTCAATTTCTCGAATCGTCAATCTCTCGATTCTTAAATTTTTCGATGTTTCAATTATTCAATTTTTGGCATTTCCAAATTTTCGATTTTATGATTTTCCAGTTTCTGGATTAATTGATTTTTCTGCTTCAATTTCTCGATTTTTTTTACTTTATCCGTTATTCCACAAATCGAGAAATTGAAAAATCGAAATCGAAAAATCCAAAAATCGAATCAAAAAATGAAAAAATTGGAGAGCCGAGGAATTGAAAAATTGAAGTCGAAAAACCGAAAAAAAAAATCGAAAAGTTGAAATTATAAAAATTGAGATATCGGAAAGTGGAAAAATGAAAAAATTTTAAAATTTCAAATTTGAAAAATCGAGAATTCGAAAAATTGGGACTTCGAATAGAACATTTGAAACCTCGGAATATCTACAAAAAAGCCGAAAAATCAAGATATTCCAAAAATCTAGAAACTGAAAAATCGAACAGTCATAAAATCAAAAAATGGAAAAATTGGAGAGCCGAGGAATTGAAAAATTGAAGTCGAAAAATCGAAAAAATCAAAAATTGAAAACTTGAATTTACAAAAATTGAGATATCCGAAAATGGAAAAATGAAAAAATTCAAATATTTCAAAATTGAAAAATCGAGAATTCGAAAAATGACTGCGAATTGAACATTTGAAACTTCGGAAAATCTATACCGAAAGTCAAAAAATCAAAATATTCCAAAAATCGAGAAGCTGAAAAATCGAAAGTCGAAAAATCGAAAATCAAAAATATCAAAAAGTCGAAAAAATAAAAAATTCAAATATTTCCAAATTAAAAAATCGAGAATTCGAAAAATCCGGACTTCAAATCGGACATTTGAAACCTCGGAAAATCTATACCGAAAAGTCGAAAAATCAACATATTCAAAAAATCGAGGTCGAAAAATCCAAAAGTCATAAAATCGAAAAATGGGAAAATTGGAGAACCGAGGAATTGAAAAATCGAAGTCGACAAATCGAAAAACCCAAAAAAACAAAGTTCAAATTACGAAAATTGAGAAATCGAAAATAGAAAAATGAAAAAATTCGAATATTTCAAAACTGAAAAATCGAGAATTTGAAGAGTCGGGACTTCGATTAGAACATTTGAAACCTCGGAAAATCTATACCGAACGTCAAGAAATCAAGATATTCCAAAAATCGAGAAACTGAAAAATCGAAGTCGAAAAATCCAGAAATCGAAATATCGAAAAATCAAAAAATTGAAAAATGGAAAAATTGGAGAACTGAGGAATTGAAAAATAGTAGTTGAAAAATCTAAAAATCCAAAAAATCAAAAAGTTGAAATTACAAAAAGTGAGATATCGAAAAGTCGAAAAACGAAAAAATTCAAATACATATTTCCAAATCGAAAAATCGAGATTTTGAAAAATCGGGATTTCGAATATAACATTTTTGAGGGGAAAGTTTATACCGAAAAGTGGAAAAATCATAATTCTCCCATTTCTTGATTTCTCGACTTTCCGATCTTTTGATTTCTCTACGTCTCGATTTTTCAGTTTTGGAATTTTTCCATATTTCTATTTTTCAATTTTTCGAGTTTTTAATTAAAGATTTTTCAATTTTTTGATGTTTCGAATTCTAGATTGTTCAATATTTTTTCCATTTTTAAAATTTTTGATTTTTGGATTATTCAGTTTGCCTACTTTTCGGTTTCTCAATTTTACGATCCTTTGATTTACCAATTTTTTGCTTGTGTGCTAATCCTATTTCTGGATTTCTCGATCTCTTGAGATTTCGATTATTTCAAATTTCAGTTTTTTAATTTTTCGATTTCTCGATTTCTCAATTTTCCGATATTTCAGTTTCGGATTTTTTTATTTTTTTATTCTTCAACTTCCCGGTTTTTTTAATTTTTCAATCTCGAGTCAGCACGTCAAGATATATGATACTGAATTTTATAATAATTTCAAGACGACTTGTTCAGAAATGAAATTTTCCACTATGTATACAACTTTTCGATTCAATTTTTGGCATTTCCAAATTTTCGATTTTACGATTTTCCAGTTTCTCGATTAATCGATTTTTCAGCTTCAATTTCTCGATTTTTTGACTTTTTGATTCTCGCATTTCTTGATTTCTCGACTTTCCGATGTTTTGATTTCTCTACGTCTCAATTTTTCAGTTTTGGAATTTTTACATATTTTCATATGTCTATTTTTCAATTTTTTGAGTTTTTAATTATAGATTTTTCAATATTTTGATTTTCTGATTTCTGGGTTTTTTAATATTTCCATTTTTAAATTTTTTGATTTTTGGATTATTCAGTTTGCTTATTTTTGGGTTTTTTAATTTTTCGATATTTTGATTTACCAATTTTTTGCTTATATATATTTGGATTGCTTGACGTTTCAGTTTTTCAATTTCTGGATTTGCCAATTTTTCGAAATTTCTGTTTTAGGATTTTTCAATTATTTGATTTTTCAATTTCCCGGTTTTTTTTTAAATTCTCGATTTCTCGTTTTTGAATTTCACACCGAATATTCCGAAAATATTGCTCCTTTGCGAGTTTTTAGACGATTTTTTCAGTGATCGTTACGTTATCGAATGCGAAAATTTTAAGGCAGATTTATAAACCAGGAGTACAGGAGTAGATAATTTTATAATATTTAAATCGTTTATAAAAAAAACATGGGTGTATTACAATGTTGGTAGGAATGGTTGGACACATTTTGGTTAAGTTTTTACAATTTACACGATATATAGGCAGACAAAAATGGGAGACCTATTTTTTCGTGTTCAACGGGTTACGAAATGTCGAGGAACCATGAAGTAGAATTTCGCTTAAAAAAACACAGTGAAGACAAAAAAAAAGATTGAAAAATCGATAAATTGAAAAACAGAAAACTGGAAAAACTGAAAAAAAAAAGAAAATCAAGGGATCGAAAAGTCGAAAAATCATATAATCAAAAAATTGACATTCTGAATAATCAAAACAATTTTTTTCAATAAACACTCACACACTATTTTCATTATTAGTAGTTGCACATGTTTCAGTAGCACTTCTATAACTTAATAAAATAATAATAATCGAAGACAGTAAAATTTTGATTTTTTCTTTTTTCAAAAAATAATAGTACTACAATAAATGATCGACACACTTGAAAAGTTGCCTAAAATTTCTCAAAAAATTCGGTTTTCCGAAAATTCGGTATGAAAATTATTTTTTTTATTTCTTAGTATCTTTAGGTAATTTTCAAAGGGTGTTCAAAAAATGGTCCAAAAGTCATTGTTTTGAGAAACCCAGATTCTGAAAGTTGCATAGAAATCCTCAAAAAATTGTAAGAAATAGATCTCGACGAGCTGATTAA